ACTGAAAAAAAAAAAAATAATAAAAATAAATAAATAAAAAATCCGAGTATAAATGGACCCCCCCAGTTCAAAGCTGTGTTGTCAGGTTAACTATAGTCACCCTCCCTGCATCCTCTGATGGTTAATCTCCTCCCCGTAATCACACGTCTAGACAGCAATACAGCATCCTTACAAATCACCTGAGCTTCCCGAGCGGCCTCAGGCCAAGCCTCAGCAGGACACAAAATGAGCCTGTCAAGTCCCACCTCCCTGCAGACGGCACGTGATGTGGGCTCCCATCCCAGGGAGGCAGCGCAGGGCACTCAGACTTTGTGGTGTGGACAGCACACACAGACTAGCACCGGATATTTGACAAAGACAGCTTCACGGTTCTGCCTTCAGCAAAAAACATCAAGAACTGAAAAATGTTACTTATCTGATTTCTTTCTCAGCATCATTCACAATAAACATGGGAACTCCCCTCAGAGTCCGCAGCCCGGTGGGGAGGCAGGTGGCTCAGTGGAGCCCAGAGCCAGGCCGAGAGCCACTTCATAAAATAGCCATTTCACTGAGATACAACTTATGTACAAAACTCATCTATGTGAAGCGTACGCCTCACTGCACTGTGTGCCCATGGAGTGATGGCTACAATCCAGACACAGAGCATCTCGATGGAGACTGCACTGCTGTCCAGTCCAGCCTCTGCCGGCAGCTAGAAGGTCACCATTTCCGAGCGTCTTTCCAAACGCTGGGCCCGGGCTGTGGCTCTGAAAGGTGGTCACCGGACGCTGTGCCTCCACTGTGCGCCCCGGAGGGCTCAGCCGAACGGGCTCTGCTCCCTGGGCCCCGGCTGAACTGCAGGTTCTCTGGGTGAAGGTGCCCTGTCGCCGGGCACAGACGGGGCACAGGCAGGGCCTCAGCGGCCTCAGGGCCCCGGAGACAATGTGAGCTCCGAGGCCACACAGGATTGGGTGGGCCCTGTTGGCCCCTCTGCTCCCTTTGTCCAGGGATTTGTAAGTCCGGGACAGTGGTATTTACAAACAATAAGGCCTTTCTGTATGGAACTTACTTTCCATGCAAAGTGACAATGTAAGATTAAAAAAATCAGACTTGATTCAGATCAAACCTTATCTATGCTCGCAGCTTTAAGCGGCTATTTCAGCGCTGGGAGCGTCTGAGCCTGAGTCCAGTTAGAGGGGAGCTCGCCCAGCGAGCCTGGCTGACTGTCAGGAGTCCCTGGCAGCGCGCCCACCCTCTGGCCTTCGGCTCTCCCCTCGGCCGCTCTAACTGGGCTTACAAAGGGGATGCTGGGCAGGGAGAGGGGAGGCCTGGGGGAGGGCACTCGCCGTGCTTTCCGGAGGGAGACGAGGAGAGGGAGCAACAGAAACACGGGGACAGTCACAGGCTGGGCAGACGAGGGGAGGGGCCACATATGCAGAGGATGCTTCTCCATCCCGTCCCCTCACTCCAACCCCGGCACCCCGCGTGCAGCAGCCTGAGCTCTGGGGGCCCACCTCCCCGGGAGGAGAGCCCCCCTGGAGGGTTCGCTCCGCCCGGAAGCGTGGAGGCCGGAGTGAGGAGGCAGCGAGGGGTGTGGGCAGAGCAGGGGCCGGGCTCCCGGGCAGACACCAGCGAGTACCTCACGCACTTCACCCGGCTCCTAAGCGACCCTCCTTCCCTCCTGCTTGTCCGCAGACTCTGTGTCAACGGAAGTGAGGGCCGAGCTATTTTTATCAGCCACCAGTCCTGACTGTGACTCTTCCGTCCACAGGGACGCAGGCTGTGGGAGACTGAGGACCAGCGTCCCTCTGCTCTCGCTTAGAGAAGGCGGTCAGACATTCAGAAAAGAGCCTGTGGTGGAGCACAGGCCACCGGCCACTCCCTCATGTCACATGTCCCCGGACACACCTGTCCCCACGCCAGGCCAGGGTTCCGGAGACCACCGAGAGGCAAGCAAACCACGACGCACGGTTCCTGCAGGCCCCTCGCGAGGCTGCTCTTTCTTCTGAGTAAAAATAACATTGTTGAGGCCAGAATTAGAACACAGAACCACTGGGCTCATAACACAAACAATCGAATACAGATAACAGCACAGAAAGAGGACAGGACGGTACTACATTAGAGCACACTTGCTACCGTTTACCAAATTAAGTCAGAAAAGCCTCAAGTACACGGGGATTCTGGTTCCACTCGTCTGCACTAAGAAATACACAATCTTGCCATGGCCAGTTCAGTTCAGTGGGTAGAGCATTAGGCCCAAGGGTCGGGGGTTCGATTCTGGTCAAGGCACGGACCTCCGCTGCAGACTCAGTCCCTGGCCCGGGTTGGGCATATGCAGGAGGCAACCAATCAATCTACACTGATGCTTCTCTCTCTGTCTCTCCCGCTCCCTTCCGTTCTTTCTAAAAAATCAGTAGAAAAATATCCTCGGGTGAGGATTAACCAAAAAAAAAAAAAAAAGAAAAAGGAGAAGAAATACTAAGTCTTTTCTCAGCCCAAGCACCGAATAAATCTCTCAATAAAACTGTATATTCTTAATGCCTATTTGAGATTAAATTACCTCAGGCAGTACTAAAAACTTTTGTTCATTTATTAAAACTCTTTTGTGCTAGATTGCTTTCATTATCCTTTGTATTAACTCATCCATTTCTAGGTCTGGCATTTTATCAGAAAACAATGCTATTTTTCATCTGAAAGAAAAGCTCTCTTAAATTAACGGGTAAAGGCTATAAGAGAAGCTGTTAAATGTGGAATTTAGGTTTAAAAAGCTTCCTGGAAGTATACATTGTTTTCTTCTTTACCTAGCTATTCTTGTACGAAGGACCGAGTCCTATCAATCCCGAGAGGAGAGGACAGAGAACTGCAAGCGGCTCCTGTGTGAAGCGGACATTACCGAGGTGATGGAGCAGGTAAGTGGACTGTCATGTGCTCTGCGAGCACAATTATCAGGGTTAATCGCATATTTAAATTAAATGTCAATCTCAGAACTGGGTGTAAACGGAGGTACTGGTTTTCAAACACAGGGAAGACGTCACCCTTACAGTGACCGTGCTGCGGGTGGTGAGGGATGCGTGCACCCGCGATAAAGCTCCCAGGAGTCGTTCATCCTCCTGAGGGTCAGCCTCCGGCTGTGAACCTGACAGTGAGCCGGACCGTCCTGGCTGGACAGGAGCGCCTTCGTGCTCTGAAGCAGCAGCCAGCAAGTGGCAGGCCACGATTTAAGAGAAAAATGCATTTGTCAGATAAAAGGCCAGCTCACAGGGCTTGTTTCGTAATGGACGGCTAATGAGATTACAGTGATTAGTGCAATTATTTTAGGATGACTCTGAAGAGAGTTAAAGGAGACGACCCGGGTATTAGGGAATCCATCTCCGTCGATTAGACAGCTCCGAGACATAAAGCATGCGTGGCCCGAGCACGGCGGCTGCATGTGGGGCCTGAGGGGACAGTCCGTGCCGCTCGGCACGTACCCGCTCTGCCTACGAGCGAGCAGTCACCGGCCCCTCCTGGAGGCCGGGCTGGCTCCGGAGGGTGGTCGCGCTGAGCCACGTTCACGGCTCGAGGAGGACAGGGCCCGGCACGTCTCCTACAGCTCTGGACGACGTAAGAGGCGATCGGCTATACCTTCGGTTCAAAACGGTTCCGCGTTTGGAAAAACACCCCGTTTTAACTCACGGCCCTTATGTAAAGGAACCGGCTCCTGGTGGCTTTTAAACAGCAGAACACTTACCTGGCTCACAGGAAACAAGAGCCAGACAAACACACACACACCGTGTCACCACAGAAGCGACCATGGGAGGCGATCAAGGGGAGGGGACCGGGTTTGTAGCATGAGACTGTCCAGTGTACAAACACGTCGTTCTTTATATATAAACTACCCTGTTTCACGTTAATTTCCTCCTGCAAAGTGCGTACCCAGTAAATGGAAAAAAATTACTTATTGAGGTTCTTAAGTAAATGAGTTATGTGCATTTTTCTAACCTAACAGAATTAACCTTAAAATCAGACTCAGAATTCAAGTGGGAAGGCACCACGCTTAGGTAAGTCACTGATTCAGTGCTTGAGTGTCTTAGTTTGTTCACTCAGTTCTCTAACCACCTGGTGGCCGGGCAGGCACCCACAGCACAGGCGGACAGGCGATCCCAGTTTGGTCATTGCAGTGACTGCCCTGCTGCTTTCTCAGCCACCGAAGCTCCGGGCTTCGATGTCCCACCCCGCGCCGGCACCACTGGTCTCCCGGCTAATGGGCGCGGAGACACGGAGGCACCAGCAAACCCTCACTGACCACTGTGCCCTTCTGCGCATTCAAGCCCTGCGGTCCACTGGCTCCTCAACCCTCAGCGCAGCCTGAAGCCATCCAATGCGACCAAAGGGGCTGACGGGCGGCAGGCCTCAGTCTGCTCCTCCACCACCCCGCTCCCTCTTCGGCACAGAAATTGCCAGAAAGTGCTACGGCTCATACTTCTGTGTCATTCTGGTGAGATGAGGGCTGATGTGATGAGACCAGGACTGCACAGAGCTCAGTTCCCTTCTCCCGCTGTGTTTCTGTGTGGCTGCGGAGCCGAGGCTCTGGCTGCAGGCTGGAAGTCTACCTGAACTCACAGGTGCGGACATGGCTCGCACTGTATCCTGGCAGTCCGGCGGGTGCGTGCAGAGGTGTGCAGACGAGGGTTTCCTCTCCAACACCAAATAACATCACTTAGAATGAGGTATGAAAGGGGAGAGAGACAGACACACAGGGGGACAGGCAGGCTACTAAGGTAATCCAGATGTGAAGTGATGAGGGCACAGAGACAACAAAGGAGGAAGGAAAAGCTATGAAAAACTCAGCCAAAAGGAGGCTCCAAACGTAAGTAAAATATTAACTCAACGGAAAATAAACATGTTTTACTCAGGCCGGGCTAGGGGAGGGGGTCTTACGGACGCACCGAGTTCAGGGCCGGCTCCTCCTGTCCGCGGGGACACGGATGGGGGCACGGACGGGGCCACGACACTCCCGCGTGGGACAGAACGTGTGTTACCTGGTAGCCTTCGGTTTTCTTCTGGCACCACTTCAGCAGGGCGTTCCTCTTGGAGCCGCCATACTCGCGGGCCAGGGCGGAGAGCGGGTCCTTCCTTTCTTCCCTGCGGCATGAGAAGAGACGGGAGCTGGGACCCTAGCCGAGCGCCACAGAGCAGACCCCGGCGCCAGGCAGGCAGCGCCGGGACAGGGCAAACCGCACGCCCCGGCGCTCGAGGCGAGGTGCACTTTCCGTTCGTTTCCTTCTCCCTTGGTTTTCCCAGGGGCCCCGGCCCCGGCCGGCTCTGCCTCTCTGTGCCCGTCCCTCCGTGGCCACACCAACCCCCCTGCGTCTCCTCGCACGTGAACTCCGGGGCTGGCTTTGACAATCAAGCCTGCCCTCCCTCTCCACCCCTGCCCTCCGGGCCCCACTTTTCCAGTCTCCCTAGCACTCACCCGCTCCCCAGTTTGCGAGTTTCACAACACTAACTTGTGTTCAACCATTCTCTATCCAAAATCCCCAAAACAGAAACGCCAGCTGCTTGGGAAAGAAACTCACTTTTTTCCTTTTAATATATTTTTTATTGATTTCTGAGAGGGAGAGGGAGTTAGAAACATCAGTGATGAGAGAGAATCATGGATTGGCTGCTTCCTGCATGCCCCCCACCACCAAACACACACACTCGGGTTCAAGCCCACAACCCAGGCATGTTACCCTTGGCTGGAATCGAACCCGGGACCTTTCAGTCTGCAGGCCAACACTCTACCCACTAGGCCACACCAGCCAGGGCCTGATTTACTTTTTACTTCTAGGCCATTTTACTCAATTCCGAGCACTAAGAGGAGGTCAGAAGAGCCTTCCTAACACTCAGAGGAAAAAGGCTGGGCCTGAATGCAGGGCGGAGGGGGGGGGCGAGAAGCGAGAAGCGAGAAGCGGTCAGCGGCGGCGCCTACCTGATGCGGCTGCGGGTGGTGGGCGTCACGGAGGCCGTGGGGGACGAGGACAGGGAGAGCTGCGGGGGCGTGGTGCCCATGGCCATGAGCGAGGCTGGCGACGCGCCCTCGGGCGCAGACATGTCCCGCTTCATCTCTTCGCTGCTTCGCCGGGACACTGCAAACAGCCAGTCAGCGTGTTAGGGCAAAACACACGTCACCGGGCTCTGAGACATTTCTCCAACGGGTCGGAGAGCAGGAATTACTGCCCAGGCGGAAAAGCTGTGATTCTTTATCTCACCGAAAGAATCTCTCTCTTCGCTCAAAAAGCTGTCGGAATGGACGGTAACTGGGCAGATGGGGGTGGGCACTGGGGGGTACGGACACACAGGTAATGCCTTAACAAGCGAAGGAAAGAACGCACAGGAGCTGAAGTATGCACTGAGCCCCCCTGGCCCGGGGGCAGGCAGAGTCTCACCCACCCTGTGCCCGCAGCGCCCACCGCACACGGGAAGGGCTCTGGAACCTTCGTCTGATCATGACCACCACTGAAGCCAAAGGCTAATAAAGGCAGTACGTGGCAGCTCCTATTCGCCAATAAAATCACCGTGATCCTCTGAAATTAGCCAAAACACTGTTAAAGGGACAGAAGAGAGACACTTAATTCTGGGTGAGGCCATGTTTTAAAAACCGTTAGTCAATGAGACAGATGATCAGAAGATGTCAAATCAGCGACTGAAAAACAGAATCATCTGAGAAGTCCCACTTTGCAAGCCGGGCCCAGTAGGAGAACGACAGCAAGTCCTGGGACCTGATGGAAGTGCCATGCGGCCGCTGACAGCAGAGCCGTCAGGGCGGCGTTTGGGAGAACGCGCCGCGCGTGAGCTGACAGGTCCGCCGCCTCAGAAGCCTCGGAGCTGAGCCACCCTCCGTGGCCTGGAGCTGCGGCAGCAATGCCAGGAGCACAGGCCCCCGGAGTGGGGAAACAGCTGCCCTTGTCCTGGTTAACCCTTGGTCGGTAATTTCGGGATAAGCACAAGCAGAAAACAACACGGCAGCTGCTTTCTCATATCACAGGACCTTATCAGAGTAATACTGCACTTACATATTCCAACATAATATTATCATTATTATTGTCTTTTTTTTTCAATGTGAGATCAAACCCATAAGCCTTCAGTGGGAAGGCTAACGCTCTAACCACTGAGCCACGGGCCAGCGCTAATAAACACTTTAAAAAAAAATATTTTATTGATTTTTCAAAGAGAGGAAGCAAGAGAGGGATAGAAAGCTAGAAACATCGATGAGAGAGAGACATCGATCAGCTGCCTCTTGCACACCCCCCACTGGGGATGTGCCCACAACCAAGGTACATGCCCTTGACCGGAATCAAACCCGGGACCTTTCAGTCCTCAGGCAGACGCTCTATCCACTGAACCACACCGGTTTCGGTGCTAATAAACACTTTTAAAATGAAGGGAACTATTCAGTTTGGTTGGGGGTTTTGTGTGTGTGTGTGTGTGTGTGTGAATCAGGGCCATAGGATTTCTTTAGAATCTGAAAGCTACAACAGAGGAAATCAGAGGGAAAAATCACCCAGGAGCTAAAAGGCTTGGGAAGCTAGCTAGGGCTCAGAGAAAGCAGCAGCACCGTCGCTGAACCCCCAGAAGCCCCGCGAAGGACGGGGCGCACGGAGATTACCTGAGATGGCCTTGGCCGTCTCCATGGCGGGCACTCGGGGCAGCGCGGCCGGGCGGCTGGTGGAGGGCGTCCTCAGCAGGTGCTCTGCAAAGCGGCCACAGTGAGGACCTGGCGCTGGGCGCCCAGTGCCCAGGCGGCGGGAAGGGGGGCGAGCCTCTCACCCCGCTCCCAGCCCAGCGCTCCCACGGCTCCCACACGAAGCCACTGCACAGACACGGACCCGGGAAAGCACCTCCCTCAGGCTTCATTTCTAGGGATGGCACATCGGACACGGACGCAAGCGCTTCCAAATCACCAGCTGCCACTTCCCTCTGGGATGCGATTCAACACTGGAAGATGCCTCTGGCATCTGGGCCGACACGGCACAAACCACACCGAGGCCTGGCCCTGTGCCCACCGACAGCGAGCGAGGAGCCATCCACACCGGGCAGACCGGCCGGAGGGGGCTGCTTGGAGGCCGGAGGGACCGCGCTCCCAGCGGGGAGGGAGGCGCGGCAGAGGGAGCGGAGCGGGGACAGGATTCAGCAGAGACACGCAGGGCCAGGCACGGGACTCCCGGGGTGAGAACGAGGTCCGCCTGGCTGACACAGGCTCCCGGGAAGCAGAGGCGGGGAAGGAAGGGGCCGGAAGGGAGCACGAGACTGGCTGGCGAGGCCTCCGGGCCTGGCAGGTGGACTTCCATCTGAGGGCAACAAGGAAGCCTGGGCACCTGAGCACGGCCAGGCCGCCATCAGATACGGGCGCGCGGCGGGCGGCCTCGCCTTGTCCCTCCTCCCCTGCCCTCCGAACAGGCTGGGGATGGGTATAAGCTGTTCCCGTCTCCTGCCCGCCTCCTGAGCTCGCTGCCCGCAGGTCTAGGGAAACGCTGCGCCCCGTGGCAGGAGCCCCCACGCAGACCAGCACACCCCGACCGCGGCGACAAGCCGACCCGCTGTGGCCAGGCCAGGCCCACAGCCCAGGGCAGAGATGGGATCCGCCTGGTCGGGTGGATCGGGGGCGTGGGAACAGGAAGAGGAGAACCCCACCTCCAGGAAGGCCATTGGTCTCAGGGAGCAACCAAGTCCCAACAGCAAACACTTCTTTAAAAGGGAAGAGGTAAGCTTTCCCACAGGAAAAGGTCACTCAAACCTCTTTCTAAGAATTGACAACGTAACCAACGCTCCCTCCCCTAACACCATGGTGTCCAAAGTGATGCACGTGGCACTCTCTCTCAAGGCCAGCACCTCTTCTATCTTAATATTTATTCTCTGAGCATGAGGCACAGGTGGCTGTAATTACTACCTGGAGGGAAAGGATGAACTTGCTTTTTTTTTTTTTTTAAATATTCCTATTGATGTCAGAGAGGAAGGGAGAAGGAGAGAGAGAGAAACACCAATGATGAGAGAGAATCAGGGATCGGCTGCCTCCTGCACGCCCCACACCGGGGGGAACTGAGCCCGAAACCCAGGCCTGTGCCCTGACCGGGAATCGAACGCTGACCTCCTGGTTCCTGGTTCGATGCTCACCCACGGAGCCATGCGGCCGGTAACTGACTTTTTAATGAAGACAGGACTTCCACGGCCGGGAGCGATCACTTCCTCCTGGTCACGGACACACACGCCTCTGTGCGAAAAGCTACAAGCGCACCCCGGGAACCGGAGCACCCACAGGAAGAGCGCCATACGCGCCCAGGCTGGCAGACAGGAGAGCCGGCAGCACCCGGCAGCAGTGGGAAACACAAAGCACCGGTTTTTACTTGGATAAATCTTCCATGTTACCATTACGAAATGCTCATTTCCCTAAACCCTTCCTCTCCCTGGAACACAGCAAAGAGAGCGAAAACAAAGGCCTCGGAGATAATGAATCAGACGGCGTGTCAGCGGAGGCCAGGCCTGTCATGCCCGCAGGGACAGTGTTCCTCCTCTGGCACCGCACACGGTGGGCACATCACCCAACGCAGCTCACGGGTGTGCTGCCAACCCCAACCCCTGGCCGTCCTTCCTCACTGAGCGGCTAAGCATCCACGTGTGACACGCACCGAGGAGCACGCGTTTCCTGGCCCTGAGCCCCCGGGCCACTCCTCTCAGTCACAGTGGGAGCTGCCCGCACGCAGGCTGCCGCCGGGGCCCGGAGCACTCTCCCCGAGGAGCACGGGTGCTCAGAGGCACTGCTACGGCCGGAACCATCCGTCCACTGCAGAGCGGAGGCTCCATCGGTCCATCCCTCCTCAGGAAACATCCTTGTGTTACGGTGCGCGTGGCAGGCAGGAGGGCCTGCTGCCAGATGGAGCTACTTAGTCCAGGCACTAAACAGGAATCATTGGGTGCCCACCACGTGGCAGGCGCTGGGGTTGGTACAAAGGTCAGAGATGGGAAAACAGGAGGCAGGGAACTTGCCCTCACGGAACTCGGAGTTTAGAGCACAAGCCAGTCGTTTAAGAAATCATTCCAAGGCCCTAGCTGGTTTTGCTCAGTGGGTAGAGCGCTGGCCTTCGGACTAACGGGTCCCAGGCTCAATTCTGGTCAAGGGCACATGGCCAGGTTGCGGGCTCGATCCCCAGTGGGGGGCATGCAGGAGGCAGCCAGTTACTGATTCTCTCATCACTGATGTTTCTCTCTCTCTCTCTCTCTCTCTCTCTCTCTCTCTCTGAAATCCATAGAAATATATTTAAAAAATGCAGCCTGGGAAGGAGCCCTGGCCGCAAGGGGAGGAGACGGGTCGGGCTGGCTGCGGGAGAGCTGCGTGAAGACGGGCAGCCCTCCACAAGCGGCTGGACCTCACCATCGGCCTGTCTTCTGAGGAGCAGCCACGGCGAGCACAGCGATGGACACAGGGGCTGGGAGTCAGAGAGCCCGGGCCCACTGCTCAGTAACAACCTGACCTGCACTAAGAAGCTTTGTGAGGCCTCACTGTTAGCATCCGCAGAGTGGGGTAACAATCCAGACGCCACAGAAGACTGTGCACACACAGGGCCCAGCAACAGCAACTCTACCCTTACCAGGACGGACGAGGGAGCCGTCTCCCAAGATGCCTTTATTAATAACTAACCTCCCGTTTGTATTAAGACACATCATTAACAAACTGATAGAGATGTATGCCAGACTGGCTAAGTCACGCAGGAACAAAGGAAGGAACCTGTAGTTGGCCGGAAGGGCCAGAATCACAAAGTGAGGAACAGAAGGGAAACACAGCATCGCAGAGCGGTACCTTGCACGGGGAGTTCCCCGTAGTTTGGTCTCTTATCCGCCAGGGAAGCCAGGGGTTTGGACGTGGAAATCGGTCCGCTTATGGAATGTCTCTGAAATCACAAGATAACATGGTCAGCGGTGGGACACACAAAGAAAGCGGCAGAGAGTAAACAGTTACAAATTTGCACAATCCCTTCCCAACTATAAGGCGGCGACCAGCTCGCTTAGTGAGACACACGCAGAACACCCGTGGGGCAGGGCTGCACGCACAGTGCGTGTCCGGGGCTGTTCACTCGCCGTTAGAGGGTTTCAGGTTAATACAACGGACACTGCCATCACTTATCTCAATCACACCTGCTCACCAGCACTGTGGGGGGTCCCACTGCACCTCCCGCGGAATCAGCTGCTCCCCCTCCCCCACTGACACGAGTGCGATGACTGTGGGGAGGACGGCCCGCGGCCGGATGCTGAGACCTGGCTCGGGCGCAGGCACTCACCTGCATGGGGGAGACGGCGGCTGCGGGCGGTGTCTTCATTGGACTCGGGCTCAGAGGGGTGCGGGGCATTGCGGCCGCGTTGGGGCTCGGTACTAGGAACACAGACAACAAGGGCCTGAGAGATCCCCCGGGGAGCAGGGAGCGTCTGTGACTGCCCCGCGGGTCACTGGCGAACCGGTGCTCCCGCTCCCGGGAGGCTGTGCGGGCTGACGCCGCCTCCCGGGACGCTGAGCGGAGGGACGAGGTTTGGTGTCGGACATGAGACGTCAGGAACCGCCTCGGTGCCCCGGGAGGACACGGTGTGAACAGCGGAGGGGAAGGGCCAGGGCTGCCGTCACACGCCGGAAGCTCCTAGGCACAGACAAGGCGCTGGAAGTCACAGGCCGTGTGAAGACACAGCTCTGCGTGGGGCCAGGCACGGGTCTGAGACCGAGATCTCCGGAGCCGAGACTCCCCCGAAGCCCGTTAAAGACACCCCTCAGGGAGCCGCACAGCAATTCTCTGAGTCTGACGGGACGCAGAGAGCAAGGCGACAAGAACATGGAGCCGGACCGGGGAACGCGTGGTGAGTGAGCACACGGGGGCCCTCACCTTGGGACGCGCTGTCGAAGGACTTGATGAGGGTTTTGACCGTGGGGGTGGGCTCAGAGGAGGTGGAGGACCTTCTGCTCAGCCCCATGCCCTGCCTCAGGGCCGCCAGGTCTCTCTCCACAGCGTTCATGTAGTTGTACACCCGGCCTCGCTCCTCCTCCTGCCTGGAAGCAGCATTGAAATCGGGGCGTTTTGTACACATACACCAGACGATACAAACCACCACCACCACCACCACCCCCCCCCCCCCCCCCCCCCCCGCTGAAGAGCATTAAGCGGTATCAGTTTAAAATAAAAAAAAATGCTATCAGTTGAGCAGAGTAAACCGGGAGGTTTAATATTCTCATTTGCTTGGTAAATTCCAGGAAATGGTATTAAAATCTTCCTATCAGGCTATCCTAAGTACGTTAAGTAACCATCAGTTTCCATTTTCATCTGAGTCAGTGCAAGGTGAGGACATGAGTGATCAATTAGCAATAACATGGGAGGTGGGCTGGCCGAAACTCTGCCTCCGAGCTGGTGACCTCGGGGTCCTGGGCTCCAGAGAAGGCCTGTGCCCTCGGAGAGTCTGGGAACTTCCAGCGCGGACAGGTCACCCAGACTGGCTCTAGCCACATGCCATGCGCAGAGGAATACAGAGAAATGAAATCAAAGCACATGCTTTTAAAATAACGTTTAAAACACTGCTGCAGGCTCCAAACAGAATTTCTAAAAGGAAAAAACAGAGACTGAGCCCATATCAGTAACACGAGTCTCCTGGATGCCCAGAGCGCTGATTGTGAGTCATCTAAAAATCAATGGCACTTCGTCCCTGGCCGGCTCGGGGCCTCTGAGCTAACACAGAAGTTTTCATGGGGATGAAATTTCAGCTGCAGAGTTTGTACATGTCACGCAACTGCCAAGCAAGTTAGCAAAAATGAAGCCAGTCCATAGGAACATTTCTCATTTGGCACTTTTTTTGATTATGTTTTCTTTTTTTCTTTTTCTTTTTTTTAAAATATATTTTATTGATTTTTTACAGAGAGGAAGGGAGAGAGATAGAGAGCTAGAAATGTCGATGAGAGAACATCGACCAGCTGCCTCTTGCACACTCCCTACTGGGGATGTGCCCGCAACCTACGTACATGCCCTTGACCGGAATCGAACCCGGGACCTTTCAGTTGGCAGACCGACGCTCTACCGCTGAGCCAAACCGGTTTTGGCTTGATTATATTTTCAAAAATTAAAAATAATAGTAGTAAGAACAATAGTGTTTTAATATTTTTGCATATCTCTTCAATGTCTGGCTCACTAAAATACCGCTGGGTTCTCATTTCTTATACATCCAATCAATTGCGATGGGAAAAAAAGTAAGCTTTGCACAGATACGTAATTGGAAAAGGAAAGGAAATTTTAATGATATTGAAATCATTCTGGTTTTGTTTTTTTTTCGATAACTGTGGCTATTCTGCCTTGATGGCACACCCAAATGCATTAAGTGGTAATTACTTAAAAGTTAGCTGCTGCCTGCTGGCGTGGCTCAGTGGTTACCGTCGACCCATGAACCAAGAGGTCACTGGTTCGATTCCCAGGCAGGGAACAGGCCCGAGTTGAGGGCTTGATCCCCAGGGTGGGGCTTGCAGGAGGCAGCTGACCCATGATTCCCTCTCAGCACTGATGTTCCTATCTCTTTCTCCCTCTCCCTTTCCTCTCTGACATCAATACAATGTAATTTAACAAAATAACACACTCTGCCCTCCTCCAGGGGTGTGATTATGGACACGGACGGTTCTGGAAGGTCCATGTGGATGCTCTGTCACAGGTGCCCTACAGGAGGCCGGGAAAGTAGGATAACGTCTACCAGCTCCAAGCTCAGCCATCCCAGCGTCAAACCCCCAGTTCTCTCCACGCCACCCCATGACAAAACTGGGGTGTATTGAAACATACGGTCACAACTGGATTCTCCAAACATACTTGCGGGACTTTATTTCTTCCAGCTCCTTTGTGAGCTTCTCGTTTTTCTCCTGAGCCTCGTGTAGCCGGCGCTTCAGGTCCCCAATCTCCTCCTGGGCTTCCGACTTTATGTCGTTGGCAATGACCACTGCCGTCTGGAGGTCAGCCTGGAACTGCCGCCATTCCGCAGACTCCTCCTACGGTGAAGCACTGGATTGTTATTTCCAACGGAGAGCAATGAAAGCTTATTTAAAAACAATCAAGTGTGTTTACGATGAGGTTGCTATAATGCACTGTCCTAAATGATGATAAATTTCTTTTAAATCCCAGGAGAATTGCTATTACCTATAGCTAATAGATAATGTGATTATTATGGCTGAACTTCTTAACGAGGAAAACGTTTTCTGGCTATCTGTCTACTGAGGCATCGAACATCCAAAAAGTGCTCAACAAACATCAATGACGGTAACGTCATGTCTTCCTTCCTCATTCAAAGTTCAAAGCAAGTCTTAGGCAAATAAACAAATCATCCAAAATACATAGTGCTTCACCTCCGAACAGCTCAGGAAGGTAGGTGAGTGATGTGTGAACCACAGTGAAAAGTCACAGAGTGAGGCACTATAAATATCCTGACATCAAAAACTAACAGGGGAAAAACCAAAAGGAAAGGAAAAGGAAGAGGAAGCCAGAAGAGAAACACTGAACTGAACCAGGCAGACACCATCTGAGGGACAAAGAGGGAAGCTAAGGAGCTGGACACCCCTGGCATCCCACAGCCACGGAGGATGTGGGTGTGGCTGAGGGAGGGGGGCCTCCCCTGGGCATCACCTCGCCCCCTGCAGCCCGGGCACTGCCGCTGCCCGCTGCCCAGCTCCACGGAAGACTCACACAGCCTGCCAGAGGATACGTTCCAATTATCCGCTAACCCCCTTTCTCTCCAAAAGATAGCACGTGCTTCTTAAACCCATCTTTCTATATAAATATTTTTACTGATTTCAAAAAGGAAGTGAAAGGGAGAGAGAGAAACATCAATGATGACGAGGGAATCATCGATCGGCTGCCTCCCGCACGCCCTCCACTGGGGATGGAGTCCCCAAACCGGGCACATGCCCTGACTTGGAATCGAACCGAGACCTCCTGGTTCAAAGGTCAATGCTCAACCGCTGAGCCATGCCAGCCAGGCTTAAATCCATCTTTCTAAAATTACCACTAATGAAAATAAATAAATAAATAAATAAAAATAAAAATAAAATTACCACTAATGAGTTCTAGGACATTTCCCCCCCCAGAATCTGGTACCAGTCCCAATTTTAAATAATGGCATTTGCTTTCTGCTCCAAGCCTAGTAGGGTCAACATTATAACTGTATTTGAAGCTTATCATGAACGTTAACATGGTCAGTAACTACCCTAGGCTTAACTTTCAGAAAATTCTGCTTCCTAACCCGGTAACACATGAACTGATCCTACCCGAAGCCTCCTGTGCAGGGTCTTGATTTCTCTTTCCATGTCATGTTTCTGGTCCTGGAGTTTCTTAACCGTGTCTGAAATGATCACAGAAGTTTACATGTTTATTCTCCGAGGTGTACTCAAAAGGAATAACAGAAAGGGAGGAGGTGATTACATATGGCATTCAGAAACATGTTTTTTTATTTTAATACCCAGCGCTAAAGAAAAAAGCCATGTTCACTCCAAGGATGAACCAGTATTACTTTCTAGAGAAAATGTCAAGTTTAAATCAGTTTCTGGACTACTTCCTTCCTCACTGCCTTGATTCTGAAACAAAAAGTTCAGACAATCAATTGTTAGAAACACGCATATTATTGGCTCACACACCGGCTGCTATTTCAATGTGAACTTTTAATCACAAAGGTTATTAATATGAAGTATTTATGCAAGCATAACTTAGTACTACTTTATACACTGGAATAAATGGCAGAAAAGTGGTGAACTGATACAATTTTGACAAACTTAATTATGTAATACCATGGGGAACTCCTACTTCCATTAATTTAGGAGTCTTTTTACAAAAGAAAGAAACGTATTTATAAAATAAATCAATACTTGCTATTTCTTGCATAATACGAATGTTCTTCCAACAACTCCACTCGCTGTACACATTTAATGAGCACTGGAAGGCAAGAGCCACACTAGTGGGAGTGGGGGAGCCAGCGTCCCTGGACCCTGAAATGTCTGGGGAGGCCCCATCCTACTGAGCGCTCCGCTCCAAAACCTACGCTTAAGGCGAGAGGCCTCAGCAGGCGCCACGCTGGTGACGGCCGCTTAATCAATTCCATTCAGTTCTTTGTCCTTTTCCTTCGCTCTTTGTCCTCCTCCTTCTCCACACTAACGGCCACAGAATGCACGTAACCACTGGTCTAAAAAGATTATCCTTCTACACCCAACACCACATACCTATCACTGTCGTGTCCGATTCCTTTCAATAGAAGAGACGCTGGCGGCTGGCGGCCACATTTAGGAAGAATAAAGCGCATAAGTGTCTCTAGGGAATCTGATTTAAATTCATAAGCCGTAATGTATCTTCACTTTGTAACAGAGAATTAAAGATGGCCGCGGGCCCGGCCGGTGTGGCTCTGTGGGTTGAGCATCGTCCCACGCACTGAGAGCTCACGGGGCGTGCAGGAGGAGGCCGAGAGATGTTTCTCTCTCATCTCATCAGAGTTTCTCTCTCCCTCCACTCCTCCCTCTAAAAAATCAATGAGGACTGACCACCCACACAAGCGACAACAGGCATTTCCTCCTTAGACTCAAAGGAGTCTGTGCTAAGCTTTTGTCTTGAAAGCGAGTGTAGCCCCGCTCCTGATCACACCAGGACAGCGTGTCCTCACCCTGGAGCCTGACTGCAGTTCCCGTCTCAGCTTCCTAGTGTGAGGACACTGCCACCTGCTGTCCCCGCTCCACAGCAACATGAAACTCTGTTAGCAAAGGGCCGAAGAACTACTACCCTGTTTCCCCGAAAATAAGACAGTGTCTTATATTAATTTTTGCTCCCAAAGATGCGCTAGGTCTTATTTTCAGGGGATGTCTTATTTTTCCATGAAGAAGAACGGTACACATTTATTGTTAAATGAAAATAAAGGAAATTTATTACCTGTATACAGTACGGTAGGACGGTAGTTGTCAACACATACCAGACAAACGTGAATCCTACAGTATAAAGAATTTACTCATTTATTCAATGACAATCATGTCATCATCTTCTGGAACCTCATCATAACAATCCAATTCCTGAATTTCCTGGTGAATTTCTTGTGGCTCCATTTCTTTCAGAATCAGTGGACCAAATCTCTCATGTTTAGCCTAAGGGGGGCCTTATTTTCTGGGGGGATGCCTTATATTTCACTCAGAAGGAAACCTGTAAGTAGGTCTTATTTTCGGGAATACACGGTAGGATCTCGTTTTTAAATGACCGGTAACTCAATTTTACAACCCAATTTTTTTTTTTTAGAAACCAGGTAAATAGATGTTCTTACTGTGATTAAACCAATTTTGCTCTGGACAATTGTGGGCACTGTACTACCCACTTAACAGTGGGGTTCGTCATCCTTTCTTCACCAAGGCAAACCAAGGACAATAACCAGGCTCCACGCTGGCGCCAGTTCCATGCCCGTCATTCCTGCAGTGCTGCTGGGCAGCCACCATTGGCACGGGACCAACCTCTGATGGGGGGGGGGGGGGCATGTATGTTCACAAGCAAACTTCCATGCCCTCCAATTCAAGAAACCCTCAGTGCTGACACCAGTGCTGTCACCCTCCTATCCGTTCAGGCTGCGCCCATGGGCATCAGGTGCCATTTCGGAAGGAGGGAGGACAGGAGGAGCCAGTGAAACACCGCGCCTCGGGGCAGGGAGAGGCACAGCGCATCCGGCCAGTGGTTTATCCCCAAACCAGATTCCTGATGTGCAAAGAGGACACGGTGAGCTGCACACCAACTACTGACTACTTCTGTTTTCAATTTTAGTTTTACTCATTTTTACTTTCCTGGGAAAAACGTGGATATAACTTTTCCCCTTGATTCTAAAAGTAATGCGTGCTCACAGCAAATTCTTAAAAGCAGAAAAGGATAACAAAAATAGGTGACCCGTAATTAGATTTGGTCTATATCCTTCCAGACTTCCCTTTTTTTAAAAGAAAAATGGGATTACACTACCACACTGCTTTAAAAGCCCTTCTACTTAGCAGGTTAGGGACGCCTTTAGCAAACACAGACAGACCTGCGGCACCATTCTGACGGCTGTGCTGGTATTCCATGGACGGGATACGCCATGATTTGTTTTAGCGACTTCCTGGTAACGAAGTTAGAATGGCTCTAGTTTTTGCCATACACGCCACGAGGGCCTTTACATGACTGTAACATGAAGACTCATGGCTGGAAGAGGGGGGGTGACAAAGGGCCAGGGAGACTGTGTCAGAGCAGGTGCATGTCAGGTGTCATGGGTCTACACTGACTGTCCACTAGTTCAGTTAAACGCACATACACACAGAACACTGCCAGGTATCACATTAAAATGGTCAGGTCCCAGTAGTTGGTGCTGACTATACCATTCTTGCAGTATTTCTGCACACTGGAACTTTTCATTTCAGAAAAACTGGAAGAGAAACTATACAGCTAAATAATTTATTCAGAATTTTCAGCCATTCTTTAATTAAAACCCATACGATATAATGTTATTTTATTGTGGCGATGATTTATAAAGTTTTGGCACAGGAATCCCCATCATTTAACTTTCTTCTAATGATTACCACAAGGTGTCGCTCTTCCCCCGTTGAAATCAAAAGTCTTATGGGGAGAAATCCGGGAATCAAACCCGCAACCTTTTGGTGCTCGTGATGATGCCCGACCACTGAGCCACACCAGCCAGAGCTCTATACCCTAATTTTTTCCTAAACGCTTTAAGGATATGCATCGTGGTCCCTTACTCCTAAATATTTAGTAGGTGGTTCCCAAGAATAGGGACCTTCGTTTGTAAGACACAGTACAGTAACCAAGTTCATTAAATTTATGCTGATATGTTCATCTAATCTGCCATCCGCATTCCAATTTTGTCATAATTTCCATTAAATCATTTCCCCTGGCAGTAGTGGACCCAGTCTAGGCACAGGCACTGCATTTAACTGTCCCATCACCTGAGCCGCCTCTACCCCAGTACTCTTCATCGCTGTCCGCTCTGATATTGTAGGAAGGCAGCACCCCCCCCCCCCCCCCCGTCCTAGTAAAACCTGCCTCATTTTTGTCTAACGTTTCTCTCCGATTCGTTGAAGAATGTGGCCTTGCTGAGTGGCCCGTATCTACGCTGCGGTCACGGGCAGGATCGCCCTGCCCCGATAAATGCAGCCCCGTTTTCCATGCAGAATTCCTGTGGTTTCTTTCTCTCACTCGCAACATAATCAACAGACTGTGGGAAGGTTTTAAGATCGTGAAGTTTCTGTTTCGTCAAACTTTCCCACACAAATCTTTGTACTATTTTTTGCCACTTTTTTATAAATCTGAAGTAACTGCAAAAATAGTTCTTAAAAACTTTGATTTTTAAAAAGCAACTTAAAATCTGAGTCTCAGTTCCATCAGATTATAAAACCCCCACGGTAGGAAGGAAAATCAGACAAATAAGCCTGCGACGTAGGCACAAGATTATGAAGGAGCTTTTTCGTTCTTGCAATCACTAGAAATAGGTAGCAAATCCCTTTTCCTAAGATCTAGAAAATAATAACCCCATTATCTTCTTGCAGAAATAATTTTCCATAACTAAGCACGGTTTTAACATAACACTTCTGCTTAAAAGTTCTTCAAAAGAGCCAAGACCGGTGTGGCTCAGTGGATAAAGCATCAGCCTGCGGACTGAAAGGTCCCAGGTTCGATTCCGGTCAAGGGCATGTACCTTGGTTGCGGGCACATCCCCGGTAGGAGAGTGTGCAGGAAGCAGCTAATTGATGTTTCTCTCTCATCGATGTTTCTGACTCTCTATCCCTCTCTCTTGCTCTCTGTAAAAAAATCAATAAAATATATTTAAAAAAAAAAAAAAGTTTGCCGAGACCAGTTTGGCTCAATGGATAGAGCGTCGGCTTGGGGACTGAAGGGACCCGGGTTTGATTCTGGTCAAGGGCATGTACCTTGGTTGCGGGCATATCCCCAGTAGGGGGTGTGCAAAAGGCAGCTGATCGATGACTCTCTCTCATCGATGTTTCTAGCTCTCTATCTCTCTCTCTTCCTCTCTATACAAAATCAATAAAATATTTAAAAAAAAAAAAAAAAAAAAAGTTCTTCAAAACAAAACACACGGCCTGCAAACCAGCAGCTACCGTGTGGCCTACGCTTCCCCACACTCACATCTCTGCGGGCCGCTCTGCCGCTGCTCCTGCCTCTAACCTCATTTTGTCACCGGCTGTAAACTGCCCGCGGCCACGGTGGGCCGGACGGGAAGGAGGCGCCCCGTCACTTACTCTCTAAGTCGGAAAGGATGAGGTTGTCATGCAGCTTCACGGCTCGATGCTGCTCCACTTCGTCTTCGAGCTCAAAAATGGTCTCTTTCATGTCACTCCTTTCCGTCTCCTTTTCTTCGAGCTCCGATCTTAATTTTTCCAATGTCGTGTTCAGGTCTTCTATCTGCTTCTTAGCTTCTTCTTGGAAGGCTCTGTATTCGTCTTCTACCTGCACGAGATGGAGGAGCAGGGGGAAGAGGTGAGAGCTGGGCTCCGATACCCATGGGCTGAGGGCGGCTCAGGGCGGCTGCTCTGCGGGAACTGAGATGACCCGCGTGACAAATACCTGGTCACAAGCGCGCAGACGCCCTCCAAACACAACTTCGTGAGATACACGGAGGACACTTGTCACTACACCGCTGGCCGAAATCACGTCGGCAAATCACTGAGTTTAACTAGATCATTTAGGAGGAAATTCTGGAAATTTTCCCTCCTCCAAAGTTTGGGCTGAAGGCATGCATTCGATTAATGGTTAACATGCTCTCCCACAGAAACGGTCCCTTTGATGGCAGTTTCAGTATCAAATAATGTAAACAACAACAACAACAAAATCCCCAAATACTGTCATTGCAAAGCATTAGTTCAACCTGAGAACGGAAAGGTCCCGGGTTCGATTCCAGTCAAGGGCATGTGTCCAGGTTGTGGGCTCGATCCCCAGTGGGGACCGTGCAGGAGGCAGCCGATCCATGATTCTCTCTCATCATGGATATTTCTCTCTCTCTCTCTCTCTCTCTCTCTCTCTCTCTTCCTTTCTTTCTGAAATCAATTTAAAAATGTGTGTATATATATAATTTTAAAAAATATATTTTATTGATTTTGTACAGAGAGGAAGGGAGAGAGAGAGTTAGAAACATCGATGAGGGAGAGTCATCGATCGGCTGCCTCTTGCACACCCTACTGGGGATGTGCCTGCAACCAAAGTACATGCCCTTGACCGGAATCGAACCCGGGACCCCTCAGTCCCCAAGCCGACGCTCTATCCACTGAGTCAAACCGGTTTCGGTAAAATATATATATTTTTAAAGAATACTTTTCATTCTACCCCAATGAAAGAAAACCATCCTCAGACTCTAAGCGTATCAGCTTAAAATAAAGCTAAAGAGCCCTGGCTAGTGTGCTAAGTGGTTAGAGCGTCGACCCAGGCACCAAAGGGCCACGGGCTTGACTGCCGGTCAAGGGCATGTCGCTGGGTTGCAGGTTCAATCCCCGGCCCCAGTTGGGGCAGGCGTGCAGGAGGCAACCGCTCAGTGTCTCTCTCTCCCATGACGTTTTTACCCCCTTACACCCCACGCCCTCCCTCGCACCCTCCCGCTCCCTCTGAAAGTCAATGGGAAAGAGTGCCCGCGGTGAGGACTGACAAAGGGCCGATGGCCCCCGTGCGGCGACGCCGGCTCTCAGTGGCCCACGGAGGCAGTACCTTGGCGATGGCGTCCTGCAGCCGATTGGCATCGTTGCGGGTGTGAGCCAGGTCCTCCTGCAGGCTGCTGGCCAGGGCCTCTGCTTTCTCCTTGTCCAGCCGCACGCTCTCCAGGAGATCCTGGATATCGGTCTTGTCTCCCGCGTTGTGGATGGAGTACAGCTCCGCCACCTTCTGCTTCTCGTTCTCCAGCTGGGCCTTGAGGCGGTTCATCTCGATCTGGTCGCCGGCCACGGTGGCCTTGTACTCCTCCAGCGCGGCCGCCAGGGCCGCCTTCCCCTTCTGCTCCGACTCCACGAGGCGCTCCATGTGGTGGTTGCGCTCCTTGAGGGCCCCGATCATCTCCTGGGCCTCCTTGTTGTCCTGCTCCGCCATCTTCAGGGTGTTGCTCAGGTGCTGCTGGACGCCCAGCAGCTGCTCCCGCTCGAAGCGGCCGTTCTCCGCCAGGTCCACGTAGCGCTGCTCCAGCTCCAGGTAGCGGCCGCTCTTGACGTCCTCGTCGACCACGTAGGCGACGTGGCGCTCGTCCAGGAGGGAGCGGAAGTACTCGATCTGCCGGCCGAAGTGCTCCAGCTTGTCGCTCTGCTGGCACAGGGACTCCATGAGGATGACCTTCTCCTCGCCCAGCCGCTCGTTCTCGCTGTTGAGCTCCTGGGTGATCTGCTGCAGGTCGGCCAGCTCCTGCAGCGTGGCCTGCAGCTCCTCGCTCGTGCTGTGCTGGTTCTCCTCCATCTGGTGGATGCGCTCCGTCAGGCAGGCCACGGACACCTCGCTGGCGTTCCCGCTGCTCCCCTTGCGGGAGCGCTCGGTGCTCGGCGCGCCCTCCGACTCGGAGGACGAGGGCGCGTCCAGGGCGTCGTCGCTCGAGGTGAGCGGCGGGTACACCTCGCTGGACTCGCTGTCCAGGTTGTCCATGGAGTTGCTGTGCTGATGGTCCATGAGGGTGTTTTCGTCCTGGCTCAGAAGGTCCTCCACGGAGCCCGGGGCGGAGCCTTCCACCGAGGAGGTGAGCGTGCCCCCGCCGTCGCTCTGGCTCCCGGGGGCCATCTCGGGGCTCAGGGACTGGTAGCCGAACAGCTTCTCCGAGTTGTCCAGCCTCTGCTCCAGGGAGAAGCCCAGCGCGTTCAGCCTGTCCTTCAGCATCCTGTTCTCGTTCTTGAGCTGGTTGAGCTCCTCCCTGATGGCCGCGTTCTGCTCCTGCAGCTGCAGCAGCGTGGACTCCACGTCGGTGGGCGGGGGGGCGGCCAGGGCCTCCTTCTCCTCGGCCTGCTCCTCGCCCTCGGAGTGCTCCTCGCCGAGGCCCAGCTGGGCGCGCATGTCCCGGAGCTCGCTCCGCAGGTGCAGGATCTCCACGTCCTTGGTCTTGGCCAGCGAGAGCAGGTCCTTCACTTTGGCCTCCAGGGCGGCCCTGTCGCTGATCTGATTGTCCGACTTGGACTTGCTCATGCGGACGTCGCCCTCGGCGGCCGCGCGGCTGCGGGAGCGCTTGGTCAGGGCCGCGTCCCCGGCCCCCTGGCCCGCGGACGACAGCTTTCTGCTCGGGTTCGCCCGGGGCCGCTCCCGGGGCCTTTCTCTGGCGGAACTGGATTCTTTATTGCCCGCGGATGCGCTACGCTTGGTTGAAGAAGTTGTGCCTACGTGTTTAAAGCAAAGAAGTGAAGGCAAAGTTACTGGCGGGCAGAGGGGACTGGCGCGGAGGACACGGGCGCCTGTGCACCGCCGGCAGCTCCGCCGGGCGGACCCGCCCCCCTCCCGCCCCCCTCGCCGCGCCCACCTGCGCTGCCTTTGGGCTTGTTCTCCACGGAGGTCATGGCGGGGGCCGAGGCCGAAGACGCTGACGAAGGGCAGTTGCTCTTCTTCCCTTTGACTCCGTTCGTCACGCTCACCCCTCCAGCCATGCCAGCCAGCAGGTCATCGCTGCTCTTGGTCTGCGGGCAACATAGAGTCAGAATAAACCGACAGGACGGAGCAAGATAAATTGTACTTTCAGACGAAATAAGCGCCTGACTTACGCTGAGTTCAAGAGTTCTACAAGGACTTTCTCACTGTTAGCAAGCGGGTTAGCATACGGGTAACAGACAGAACTTCTCAGCTGGTTTCCAGACAATCACACTCGTCTCTAAAGTGAAGGAATCATATCTGTGATCGTATATGTACCTAACATGTTATGAGAGCCCATTGTGTGCTCACAGTGTCAGCTTCATGAGGGACAAGAAAGTGAGACGTCCCCTACTCCTCTGTCATCCAGGACGTGACTGCGAACAGAGGCCCTGTGAGCGATGTCACCTGGACCATCTCAGGAACGTTCTGGAATGCCAGTGGGAGTGCCACCTGCAATTTCTAGAGAGAAATACCAACGAGAATCAGAAATAATCTGCATGCTCTTATTATAAATGATCCAATAATGAAGCCAACACCTAAAAAAAGTATTCTGAAATTTTCTTTAGTAGTCTGATTTAAGCCAAAAGTGAAAGATGTATTTAGAGGCCTGGATCGGATAGAAATAAAAACAAGGTATTCTACAGTTAGAGGGAGGCTAGTCAGTCTAAATGATCGTGCTACCTGAGAAAGACCATTTGTAGCATTCGTTTATACTTTGTACAGATGCCTGGAAAGTATCTGCTTTTCAAAACCCCCACAAGCACTCTGAACCGTTTCTGTTTCTCCCAGAAATGAGAGAGAACACAAGCATTTTTCTTGTTTCCTCAATAAAAGAAACAAAAAGTTCTGGGCAACTAAGGTGAAGGCACAGTCAGCCACCTGATTGATGTGGTTTTCTGTCTGGAAACATGCTTCCCTTAGAAAACCATAATTAATCCATTTCTAGGAATTAGATCGGTTCATAAGTAAAACAATTTCTACCGTCTCTTCCCATTCTAAATGTCAGTGACTCCACATGGGATAGATCTGATCTCATCATTCAATTATGAAAACTATTCATAGCAGTACCATTAGGTAGGTCAATCTGTCTTACTAAAAAAGAGGCAGAAAAAGGATTAATGTTTTAAATGCATTACACAGAAATTAGATTTGATATTTAGGGTTGTCATATTATGAAAAATCTAGGCTATATAATAAGGGGGGGTGCATTAATCATTAAGGATTGTTCATATTCTTTAAGACTAATTTTGTCGCCCTGGCTGGTTTGGCGTCGGCCTGCGGACCGAAGGTTCGATTCCAGCCAAGGGCATCTGCCTGGGTTGCGGGCCCGATCCCCAGCGTGGGGCGTGCAGGAGGCAGCCGATCCATGATTCTCTTTCCCTTCCTCTCTGAAATCAATAAAAATGTATTTAAAAAAAAAAAGACTAGTTCTGTTAAAACCGGTCACTGACTTGGAGGGTGAACATGCCACACAATGTACAGCGATGGGTCGTAGAATTGTGCACCGTGAACCTGTGTGACTTTGGTAACCTGTCACCCAAAGGTACCGTTAGCTCCTTACACTAACAGATATGATCACAAACCATCACCGGGAGTCATCAGTATTAGGTATAGATTCTAGCTGAAGAAACTGCAGCTTAATGCCCAGCTACCGATCGTTAGAAAAGCCTCCGCTCAGAGCCAGGAGAAGGAGCCTCACTTCTCCCCGGAGGAGCGTGAGCGGAACTGAGAAGCGCAGGCCGGTGGGAAACCGTCCCTCCTCTGGCTGTGACGGACCAAGAATGAGGTAAACCAAGGCCCCGGACAGCACGGCGGCTGGACCGTTTCCCCAAAACTCCCGGGAAATGACAGCAGCGCTTCACTTTACTGTTTGCAAAAGCGAGCTGCTCTGGGTCAGAGTCCCTTCCCGCTCCACCCCAGTAGGTCTGGCCCCAAACAGCATCTGAGAAATAGGTATTAACTGACTCATCCACCCCGCATAGACGCAATAATGCGGTGTCCACGGGAGGGAATGAGCAGGCGGGCAGTGTTTAAATGCTTAGAAGCCAGACGCTTCATTCGTTTGGCCCATCGTCAGTGCCCGGCAGTTACAGGATCCAAGCTGTGGGAGTGTCTATCTGCTAGAGAACCAGGGAAATCTGAAAGCTTAGAAACATAAAACAACACCTCAGCGCGTGGGTCTCCCAGTCTTTAGTTTTTCTCTAACTTTTCTGTTCATTGTCAGTTTTCTTCTTCACTTCAATTTCTATTCAAGGCTGTCGCCTCCCTGAAGTCAGAGCAATTGCTCCAGGCGGGGTGAAGTGTCCCCAATAGCTTCCTCTCCTCTCTGACCTCCCCAGACTCACACACACACACTCACTCACACAACCAGCCCTCGCAGCAGGGCCCCCGCTCGGGCAGCTGGCACGCGCTGGCACCCAGCAGGCGCAGCTTCGCTCTGCGATGGAAGACGCTCACTGCTCAGGACCAGCTCCTGCGGCCCCGTGCCAGCCTCAGCCCGCCTGCCCGGGGCACTCCACGGGGAGCCTCCGACGCTGCCGCCACCGATAAGGAGGCAGCGGAAGGCAGTGGCAAGTCCAAAGCCAGTGTCTCAACCTGTTCTTCCAGGCACGGAAGTCCCAGGGCACCCCGGCTCCACGCCGAGGACGCCCCAGAAACCGAGGAACCAGTTAGGCCGGAAGCTGCCAGCGGCCTCCCGGGGAAGAGGAGCCCCCCCCCCCCCCGGGGGAGTAACTCAGCCGGTGCCGGTGCCGGTGCCGAGTAACGGACGTAGGCGGGGTCCACGCCGGAGCCACCCCCAGGCCACAGGACCCGCAGCTCACCGGGCAGCAGCAAGGAGAGGGTCTGGGGCATCCCGAGCCCCGGGGTAAGTCTGGGTGACTCACTCCACCCGTCACTGAACAAACTCCCTGGGGCAGACTGACACCAGCAGAGCCCGCATGAGGCTCAGTGGCTTGTCCATGAATAAGCCGACCATCTGGTTTCACTCAGTCAGCCACACACACCGCGGGGTCCACAGACTGAACTCTCCTCAAGGCCGTGCGCTCCGGCGCCAGCAGAGGGCGCGCCCTCCGTGCTTCCTGATGCAGAGAACAGCGCCCTCCCGAAGGCAGGCCCGGCCCCCAGTACCTTTGACAGCGCCGCCGCCGCCCCGGGTTTGGCCAGTTTGCCGCCTGCAGACGCTGAAGAGCTGTTCTCGGGTTTGGTCTTTTCCACGGTTTGCGGTTTGCTTATCCCAGACACCTTAGGCACTGAGCCGACACTCCTGCTTGCTTTCTTCATTCTGGGCTGCCTCTTCGTGATGCATTTACAAGCAAACCTGCGGAGAGAGACGGCATGCTGAGCGCAGAACGGAGAGAGCGCCCGAGAGACAGACCTGCTGTTGGCAGTTTTACTCGGCGATAAATAAAAATGATCGAAAGCTAGCCGCAGCTACAGGAAGTAAGAGCTGAGACATGCTTAGACTTATTAACGCCCCTTATTTGCAAGGCTTCCTTCTTGAATATGACGAGTTTGGAATGATTCTAATTTAATACAATTCATGTTAACTTCTAGCGAGATTCTATGTGACAGGCTCTGTGCTTTGACACACAAGCTGTGACCTGTGTGACCTGCATGACTTGTGTGTCCGTGGGCAAATCACTTTGAATCTTTGCAACTCTGCTTCCTGTCCTAGAGCGGGGAGCGGTAACCCTAGGTTAGGGTTCCCCCCCAAGAGCAGGCCTCGGGACACGCTCCTCCAGAAGCCGGGGCACCAGGGATCACGTGCCAGGGAGACGGTGCTACCAGCCGAGCTCAGGGACGGCCATTCAGTTCGGCGATTCAGACACGCCACCTCCCAAGCCTCCACCCAGGACGCATCCCAGTGGGGCTTCGGAAAGAACGCCAGAAGCACCTGAAGGATTTCTCTCCGCTGCCACTGGTGTCTGCTCACCTGGGAACCCTCTGAACTCCAGCTCCCTCAGAAGTGGAATGGGTCGGTAACCAGACCACCCGCCTCAGTGGAATGTGGAGGATGGGGTACAGTGACAAGCCTCCGACGCTCAGCAGGGTGGCAGCCCGCAGGGAGGCCGGAGTAAAAGTAAGCCAGCGTGATTTATAGCTTTTATATCACCCACCGCATGCCCCGAGTATGAGTAACGCCTTATTAAAATAAAGCAGCAGCCCAAAGGACACTTTGTGAGAGAAACTCCTTATGATACGACATGACTAAGGGTTGTTTTTACTTACTACTTACATTAAATTATACACCGCGGTGCGCAGATGTCAACAAGCAGCACTTGCTTCTGGTTCTTTCCCACTGAAAATTATAGATCAGGAAATACTAAAAATACATGGTAGGGAACTCTCTGGAACAATAATCAAGAGGCTGGGGTTGCGGACAGGCCTGCGTGGCTGTGGGCAAGGCTCGCTAATGACGCCGAGCCTCGGCTACAAGGCGGGGAGGAGCTGTTAGGATCTTCCTTCCAGAAATTCAAAACGTCTATCTTACAACTTGTGCTTCTGAACCAGAAGTCAAAACATTTTTTTTTTAAAAAAGAAATTGCTTATTAGTTATGATTGTTTATGCCCATTAATATCTCATTAAAAACCCAAAAAGGTTCATCTCTATAATTTCACAAACTCCATATTTAAGGTGTAGGAATCATGTTAAAATTGTAAACTAAGGACAGACTTAAAACACTGAGAAGGACTCAGAGAGTCAAAAGAAAACCAAAGTTTAGCAAATTAGCTACATTAGAGTCAGTAAATAAATGTTGCTAAAAGAATCGAAACTGATGCCCAATCTGATAGAAGCACATGTACCACAAAAACCAAGCAGCCGGCCAGTGTGGCTCAGTGGTTGAGCGTCGACCCATGAACCAGGAGGTCGGTTCCTCCTCCTGAACTACAACCGCTGACAAGCGGATGCGAGAAAAAGGAGTCGCTTACCCAGCAACAGACACCCAAAGCCCAACTCCATTCCCACTGGTTCGGCCACAGAAAAGCCCACCCAACTAACGTGTGGTTTCTCTCTACTCGATGAGCTTTAGCACAAGGAAGCATTCACCCAGACTGGACGCTCCCCGGACTTTTCCTCCTTGTGCTGCCCACAGGATAAAACAAAACCCTAACCTCACACCAAGATCTCCGGCCCCGTTTCAGGAGAGCGTCTCGGTCTCGGTAAAACAGCCGTTAAACGACTAACAATGCTTCACATTCCAGACGAGTGACAGGGCTACAAGAATTTCTGGCCACAGTGCACAAGACGATTATTCCAGATTTAGTCCGGAGCAATCGGTTCCCAAAGTTCAAAATCCCAGAATGCGAGCAATGTTGAGTGTCCTCTGGCCACGCCCTGCTCGGCCAAGGGCCTGGCTGTAATATTTATAAGCAGAGAGACGGCTCCTCAGGATGCTGCCCACGGCGGCTCACGCTCAGGTTTTGGCAGACGGTTATAAACTCACACAAGGCTGTGTTCATAAAGTGAACCGTCGACCGTATTTTTAATTTACAACGTCAATTTGATCTATTTGTATATTTCTAACAAACTGATCTGAAATACAAAATGAAACTTTTTATTTTCTATTTCACTAAAAACCCTTTAAATTAAGCTCGCCATTTTAGGTTGTCTTGTTGCCAATGACACAGTCTCCTAAAGCACAGCCAGCCCCGCTCACCAGGCCACGGAGAGGGCGGCCAGAGCCTCCTCGCTGGCCAAGGACAAAGGCGAACTCCGCCCCACGCCCCCTCCACAGCTCACTCACTCGGGGGGGGTCCCCCTCCGGGGGCGCCTGACAGTGAGAGCGCACAGGGCTCAGGGGGCTCTGCCTTCGGACGTGTAAAAAGGGCGGGATGTGTCTTGGCTCACGGCAGCCCCTCCTCTGTGTGCCCACCGCCCTGAGAGGAAGCAGCACAGAGGGACCCGTACCAGGGCCTCCAGATGCGCTCTCTGCCTCATCCCGGGCACCACCAGGCCTTCTCCGCTCTGCAGCACAGCCCACCTGCCGGCCCCGTCGGGTAATGCCCGGTGCCCAGCTCAGGCCAAATGCCTCCGTGGCCAGCAGGCTGCCCTCAGACCCGCTCCACCCCGCCTCCCCACCCACCGTCCCGATTCAGACAGACAGACAGACACTCCTGCGCCGGCCGGCCCTCGCCCTGGAGGCCCAGGCCCACCTTCCTGGCGGGCATGCCATGGCGTCGGCCTCCCCCTGGCAGGGGGCCACAGGACCGCTCTGGGGGGGACTCGGGCTGAACAAGCAGTCACTGTCTGTGTGAACCCATAGGGCCTGGGCGTCCTGCCCTCCTTCACCGACAGTTCTCGCCCTGGCACACCGCTCCTCACCCAGGAGAAAGGAGAGCGGCGGCAGCGGAGGGAGTGCAGGGCACAAGGATAATACACAAGGCGAATCACAACCAAAAAATACAGGAAGAAGTGCCACAACCAGCAGGAATGGGAAGCCGAAGGCCTCTGCTTGACAGCCGGTCCCGCAGGGAACAGCCTGGCCCCCCACCCCGGCCCCCACCCCCACCCTCCCCTCCGCCAGCCTCGCTCAGAGCAGCAGCCCTGTGCCAGCCACTCTCCCTGGTCCCTGCCGCTCATGCCAACTGGCACACTATCCCCACCCCAATGCCCACTCACTGCCCCTCCCCGCCCCCCCGGGCAGCTTTCTGTCTGTGGAAGCTCCTGCTTCCAGGCACACCCTCTGGTTGGCTCCAATACTTTTTTATAAAAATTAAAATTAAAAAAGGGGCCATTTCAAAGGACAGGTACAGCTCAGTCCCCATGGTGCCACCTCCCGGTGCCACGTCCCAGCCGGCCCCTCAGGAAGCCCTGGCACCGGAGGAACTTTCCAGCACTTAGGACCCGCAGGGGCAGTGTACACACCCCTGCACAGGCCTCCGGTCACAGATGCTGTGCACGGCCAGGCAGGGCCAGTGCCCTAAGCCTGTCCTTCCATGCCATACAGCGGACGGAGCCACGGCAGGAGAGCAGGCCGGACCCAGAAGACACTCCGGCCGGGGGTGAGGGTGAGAGCGGAAAAGGGGAAAGCGGCGGAAAGCACTTCCTTCCGAGTTCAGCGGGTCCCGGGCCAGCTTCCTTGTGAAAGTGCTGAGAACACACAGCTCATGACTGCGCCGGCTCTCCCCGCGCTCAGGAGTCCTCCCCGAGCTCAGGAGTCCTCCCCGCAGGCCGCCCAGGCACCAGGGGACGCCGTCCACGCAGCCCCAGCCCCGGGCGGCGTGTTTCTTACATCCCGGCCTCAAAGGCGACACGGCCCCCGACCCCCGACCCCTGACCCCTGTCCGCGGCGTGTCCCTGCCTTTCAGGTGCACGCCTCTGCCACGCGAGAGCTCCGCAGACGTTCCAGCCTGCTGGGTTCCTATGTTCCGGGCACTGTGGTCCTTCAGCCGTATGACCCCGATGCATATTACCTGTCATTAGTCACAGGAGCAGCGGGAAGGCCCGTGCAGGCCGGTCACCAGCAGCTGCCCCGGGGGCCGAAGCTCTCCTCTCCCCAGCGAGCCCCCAGCTACCCCTGCCGGCCGGGGGGGGGGGGGCAGGGAGAACAGACGCTTGCCCAGTGAACTTGGGTGACAACGGAAGGTACTTGCCCTCAGTCACACCTGAGGACAGGTCTTTGGCCGGAACGGGCGTGGCCACTGGAAGGCACAAAACCTGGAATATTCCGTTCCCTAAACAGAGGAGTTTGTCCCCTCGATTGCTCCCGCCTGTCGCACTGGACCCCTGGCACCCTCCCGCAGGCCCACGCCTGTGAACTGTCGCTAGCCTGACCCTCTGCGCCCCTGCACCGTGAGCACGGGCTCCGGCTGCGGCTTTACCAAACCCAGCTCCCCCCTCTGTGACCCGACGGGGCTTCAGAAACACGGGGTACCCTGCAGATAACCATCACTCCCCATGCCACGCCCGTCGTGGGAAACCCTCTCTCGTGAGGTGCCCTAAGGCCCCAGCCCCAGAACCCGGCGGGGAGGAGGCCAGCGGGTCCCCACCAACACTATGTATGGCAAATGCCCTCTGGCTGAGCAGCAGCTGCAGGGACAGGACCCAGGGCTTTCCGGCAGGAACCGGGCTCAGTGATCTTAACCGCGTCTCACCGACAAAGCCCAAGGAGGTAAGAGCTGTCCGGACGACCCCAGATGTGTGGCGGGGCCGCGTTTAGTGAAGGAGCACATGAACTCAGGCTTTCCGTCTGAGCCACTGCCGTGCTCACTGCATTCCCCGGTGCTGTTGGCGTAACGGCACCGGTCTTGGGAGTTGACTAGTTTTATAAATCACATTT